TTACTGGTACCATCGACCGTCATTCCGGGGCCGGTCATGATTTGCGCGATTCCAGACATTGAGTTGCTTAGTACCTGCCGCCAATTTTACGACGAAGCCAGAAGTATACTTTTCTCGGACAACACCTTCATGCTCTCTACGCAAATGGACGCGTTCGTTGACGCTTCGACCCTAGGACTCCTGAGCAGCTGGGTGACGGGTCTTGGTTCCAACCTCGATTATCTGCGCAAAGTCGTCATCGATCTCGAGCCTCTTTGCCCCGGACTATGTCAGCCTACCCATGATAGGATCGACCTGAAACCTATCATGGTGATGATCTGGCGATATCAGGATATACTCACGAGCCAAGGCAACCGACAGCGCGCGAAGATTGAGGTGTCGTTCGCATTCTCGGGACGACACCTTCGTTCGCATACTCACTGGGGCATTCCAACCCCATACCCCATCAACGAGTCCAATCTCAATGCGATGATCACATTGTTGACGCCTCAGCGTAGTCCGGAAATGAGCCCCTATCTACGAGCACCCCGGTCGCTTCACAGCATTCAGGCCACACCCGACGGTCTACAAGCCACGTTCATCCTGAGAAGGTCTAGCCATCAACGTCCCGATGATGCCGCCCTTCCAATCATTCCATACGATGTGGACAGCAACGGACAACTTAAAAGGATGCAATTCCTCCCTAACCGGATGCTCCGTCTTGCGAACCTCCTTTACTCGACCTCGATCAAGCAGAACCTCCTTGGTATGCTTATGGAGTCAAACGACCATCATTGTCTTACATACAACATTGAGAGCCGAACAATCTCACGCCGCCTACCCGAGCTATTTTCGATGAATCGCCAGTTCCGAAGAATTGCCCTCAAACAGTGGCAGCACATACATGTCATTGGAAAGATGACGTCACGTAGCGCGCAGGCTTCGTTTGATGATCTCGCATCGATGCAGGCTTGGTGTGCGGCTAGTGGACTATTCTTCCCTGATAAGTGGGATGAGCGCCCTGAAATTCCACCCACTCTGAAGATGCGCTTTGAGCTGCCGGAGCGAGAGGACTTTTCATGTCTCCGGATTTCGATCACCAACATTATCATGGCAACACTGGAACTCCCCATAAACTCCCGGCTGTGGGTTGAGCAGTTCAATGGCGGCCTGCCCCTTCAATACAGGACGGGAAAGCTGTACAGACTTCAACGGCAGATGTTTGTCTTTCTCGCCGTCGTACTGCACTCACACCCAGATCGCGGTAACGAAGCCTGTCCCGACGTTATCATGGACGGCAAATGTATCATCAAAGAGATCGAGTATGAGCGGGATGACGGTAGTAAGTTCACAATCAAGTACGAGAGGGCGGACGAGAACCTTGAAGAGATGGAAGAGGACATCGAAGACTGGATCAGCCATTTCATCGAACAGGAAGAGGCGGATATAGCGGCTTACGTACCCACTATCGCCTACCAAGATGATGACCCTTTCGGCAACATCGTTGAAAAGTTCCGGTACGACTTGAGCGCGCCCCACCACCCTTCTTTGCGCGGAGTAATTACAAAGCTCGCGTGCTTCCTATACGAAGCTGATATAACTGGTGAGTATTGGGACTGATGTCACTGTGGTGGAGGACACGAGAATAGGTATCCAGGTTAGCTAGTTTGATGTATGTGGTAGCGGTCAAACAATCTCAAATGATCATCTGAACGTCTCATGCGCCATGTAAAACAGCGACGTCTCATTGTTATCCCGCGCGTTGCCCATAGAGGTTCTCCATCCATTTACCTCACCCACCAACAGCCGTGAAAAGCTCTCTCTGAGACAATAACCTCAATAGTGACGATGTCGCCGACTAACGCCCTACCACCTCCTTACACGACTCGCCAACTCCGCCGTTACACCCCGTACCCCAAACTCTACGCCGAGCGAAGATATCCGCATCCCTCCCATTCGTCCAGCCAGCCAACACAGCCATTCCGGCTCATGACACTCCCCCCTGAACTCCGCTGCATGATCTATACCTCCGCACTCACCCTACCCTTCCCCATCGAACTCTGGCCCGAAACAGACAACCACATCGCCTCGCACCAGATCGTGACCGCAAACCGCAACATGCATTACCTGAAAGTCAAGATGCGGCGATGCGGCGTCAACCTGAACTTGCTGAGAGTGAGCAGACAGGCAAGGCATGAAGCCACGTTTTCCTTCTACAGAGAGAACGAGTGGCGCTTCAGCGGGATGAATGGGTGGATGGTTGCTAGTGCGTTCATGTTTACTACAGGGACGTTTGGATGGTACTATATCAAGTGCATCACACTGCCGTTACCGGTTCGACATACGGCGCAGGGGCGGGCGCAACAGCGATGGGGGACAATAAGGCCAGCGGTGAGTAAGCGCGCGGGTGTCAGGCTGGCGAAGCAGATGCCTTTCGATGTTCCTGACGAGTGGAAGTATGAGAGTAGTGTTAAGGATGTTTGTGTCGCGTTAGGAAAGTGTATGAATCTGGAGGTGCTGAGACTTGTGCTGCCGAGGTGGTGTAATATGGAGGTCGTTGATGAAGGGGTGATGGAGGATTTTGTTGAGCGGATTAAGGGGCTGAGGGAGGTTGCTGGTACTAAATTGAATGTGCAGGTGGTCAGACTGAGTGGGCAGAAGATGACAACTGGAGATTTGATCATGGCGGACGCGAGGCAGGAGAAGTATATAGAGGGGTGCATGGAGAAGGGGTGGGAGATTAGGACGGCGAAGTGCGATAAGTTTGGGAGGTACGATGTTGTGGATATGTGATAGGAGTCAAGTATTCGACTCCTCCTCCCAAGCACAGGATGCGCGGTGAAATGAACTGAATGCGTCTTTATCTAGCGCATAGGTACCGATCGAAGCCCCTCTTGATCTACGAAGATAGGGACGGTTTCTCTGCAGATTGCATCGGAAGAGGGTGTGGCCGGAAAGCGATAAGCTCACCGCTAGCTTCCAGCTGATCTAGAAGAACAGGCATATCCACTCTGGTTAGCTGGATGCGTTCTTATGCGGACGGATACCAGCAGCCTAGATGAATGCTTCATTTCGAAAAGTACGCCTTCACGCGATTGGCTGCTGCGGCACCAACGAACTCCGATCTTAGGGGCGTGAAATGACTTTAGGCTTTCTGAAAATGCGATTGAAGATCTTTCGTCACAGTGTTTCAGTCTGGCAAAATTTTCGTGTCCAATCTGCGCTTGGGCATCATCGCAGCGGTCAAGACGAGTTGTGCATTGCTTCCTCTAGCTGACGACGTGTACAATCGTAGCTATCCGGGTAGATGCATGCTGTTGCAGTACGGTGAGGATTTGGCAGGGGATGATTCTGGACCGGGCTGTTGTCGTTGCTTGTGCCGTGTCGGGGACTTTCGCAATCGGGATCGGGAGGAAGTGGAGATGCGCAAAACCCCGCGCCACATCCCTGAGCCACATCGTTGCGCCACACTTGTGCGGTCCGCTGCTGCGGCCCTACATGAAACCTAGGCAGTACATTCTCACTTTCGATATTACTCCGTCTTGGACGACACGAATTCGCATCTCCCAAGCATAGCTACACAGATCTAGAGATCGCGAAGGACCGAACAAGGGTCGTGTCGACGCCGGATGCAAAATGGCAGTCGTGCAATCGGAAGACGACTACCCGATCGCGACCAGCGAAACACGGCACGACACGCGCAGTACCCACGACTCCACGACTCTACGTCGATCAGTAATCGACGTGCCATGACACAGTACTACTAACTACAACAACATGTGTATTCCGTGGATGGGCTGAGCGGTCGTTTGACGACCAGCCTTGGACGTCGTCTCGAGTCGCAACGCAGCTAACCTCCAGGGCGGTTGGCGTCAGCCGGCTGCATCAACCTCGCAAGCAAGTCCTGTCAGCGACTCTTGAACACGCGGGATCCTAATCAGCGTGGTGAACAGAGGTACACCTAGGAACGGCACCTGGGCGTCATGCACGACACCTGTTTGCGCGACATGACGTGCCAAGACGCCCCGAGCTGGTGTTTGACGCCCTCCAGGAAGCGTCGCGATTGGCGGAGATATCGAAAAGAAAATCATTGAAACTATCTCACACTCTAGCCAGATTCTAGCGCAAGGCTCGCCCCGTGACACGAATCGCAAATGTGTCTTGGCAGGACCCCAATGATGTTCCCGGAGAAATGCTTGACTGGCCAGACGTTTTTGAACAACGAGCGGAAATTTCAGTTCTCCTTGGCGTTCCAGATAGGTGGTTACGATGTGGATATTTGAGCGGTTTCATGTCAAAGCTTGGCATTTTGGCGAGCGTTGGCGTCGGTGTGACAGGCTGAATCCAGCACTAGTCGATCGGACATGTAACGACTTCCTGGCTTCTGGTGGTAAATCCATTGTCGTGTGCGTTCGTGTGGCGTTCCAGAACACGATGTCTCTCAACTCGTCTCTCAGAACTTGTCTCTCTGAGATGCAAATCGGTGTCTTGTCGCGCCGGTGATGATGGGAGTTGAGTCTGGAAGACAAGACGGTGCTTACTGGTTAATTCACTCTCTACTAACTCCACAGTACAAATGAGCCGGGCATGGGGGCTATCGAGATATCCCGCCCTGAGCGTGTTTCCGACATCCAAGCCCCACCAGAGCACGGCCCTGACGTCCTCGGAACCCTGCGAGCGTCTTCTTCTGGGCCATCCTACTCACATTCGCATGACACTCTGGGCCTGGGCTCATGAGTACCGCCGGAGAGGAACAGTACCCTGTCTTCCACATGGCACATCTTCGGACGAATGTGGAGTGCCTCAGTGTGGCACCCAGAAGACGAGTTGAGGGGGAGTATAAGTATCACAGCGACCACCGGCAAAAAGGAATCACCACCACCATCACATTCATTCAGTCTATTCTTGCTTGAAGCATCCACTTTCGCTACCTCTTTCAGAGACTTACATTCTTTATACATACTTTGTTCAAAGCATCCTCTTCGACTTTCCAGTTTCGATCAACCAACTCAACCGTCAACATGAAGTTCTCCATCGCCATCGTTGCTGCCATCACTGGCTTCGCCGCCGCCGGCCCTGCCGCCGTTACTCCTTCCGAGTTCTCCTCCTTCGCCAAGCGCGCCTCTCTCCCGATCCCCGCCTCCAAGGGCTCCGTCACCTACAAGGCTCCCCAGCAAGTCAGCGGAACCTTCGATGGTGGCATGAAGACCTACGGCCGTGGTGCTAGCTGCACTGGCCAGGTCGAGGGCGGTGACAAGGACGCTGTCTTCCTCATCAAGAACGGCGGAACTCTTAAGAACGCTATCATCGGAAAGGACCAGATCGAGGGTGTCCACTGCGAGGGTAAGCATTGTCCCGTACAAAAACCGAGTCATAGATACTAACATGAACCAGGATCCTGCACCATCGAGAACGTCTGGTGGGTCGACGTTTGCGAGGATGCGCTTTCCCTCAAGGGTGACGGAAACGCCATGATCAAGGGCGGAGGTGCCCAGGCCGCTGACGACAAGGTCATCCAGCACAACGGAAAGGGCACGGTCACTATTGACGGCTTCAGTAAGCTTCCTCCGGTCTCAAACATTGCCACACAAAACACTAACACCTTCCAGCCGTCATGAACTTCGGCAAGCTCTACCGTGCCTGCGGTAACTGCAAGAACAGCGTCGCCCGCTCCGTCGTCATCAAGAACGTCAAGGCCTACAACGGAAAGGTCCTTGCCGGTATCAACCCCAACTTCGGCGGTACCGCTACCATCTCCGGTACCTGCGCTACTTCCGTCAAGACCATCTGCGAGGAGTTCAAGGGCACCAAGCCCGGCTCTGAGCCCAAGTCCGTCTCCAAGGGCCCCTCCGGCAACTGCAAGTACACTGCTTCCGCTGTCAAGTCTTGCTAGACGAGTACTTCGACTCGCTCGGCACTTTAGTCGGGTGAGAGTGTCGTGGTCATCGGAGATGACTGGGTGGTAGATGTGGATTTTGGAACTTTTGAGGATTCTTTGTAAATATAACTTTTGCACACATGCAGTGCATGTAATCAACTTGCTTCAGCACATCTTTTGTCTCGATATCATGGTGATCACAATCTTGCCTCAGGCCCGTTTGATTTTGTTGGTGCAATACTAAAGCGACAGCGCAGATGCGACGACTACTCCACATTTGATCGATGTTATGCCTAGTCACGGGGCGAGGCATACAGAATACTGCGCCATAAGGACAGCAAAGTGGTGTCGTTGAGGTTCATCGGCCAGTCTCGGCATGACTGGGGAACTTTTGTAAGATTGATTAATCTATCGTCGGCCACCTACACCCCATTCAATCTACTACGGAAGCATCGGAGCTAATGCCTGGGCAGATGAAACACATTGAGCCTTCTCAAGGTTGGAAAGATCAGCAGCCAAGTAGGTAGGGAAGGGTATGACTTTTGGCATTAGGGTACAGGACAACAGTGTGGCTACCTAGGTACCACCGCCATACGCCCGCTACAATTTTGAAAGACGTTGTGTGTGGCAACGCACTTTTGACGTGAGATTGAGAAACGACTATTAGGAGATGAGAAAAAGGTACATCCCGCGACACTGCTCCGTGGCAGTGAGGACAAGGAAGTCAAGGAATCAAGCAACGCAAGTGAGCAAGGCGGTGACGTCATTTCTGACACTTCGCCGAGCTTTGAAAAGAAAAACAGAAACCAGCTAACTCCGTCACCCTGGGTATAACGCGCCGGTAAACAACGGACTGGAAGCGCTAGCCATCACTCGCTGCGACGCTTCTTCACAGGCGCTTTCTTGCGAGGTGCTTGGCCAGCAGGGTCCTCTGCAACGAAGGTCTCTTCGCGAGCGCGCTTCTTGCCCCTTGAGGGCTTCTTGACCTTTGTAGACTCTTCGCTGTTGGAGCCCTCCTCGTCGTCCTTTTGGGTTGCCTTGTCGCCCTTGTCTTCGCCGCTTGAAGAAGCTGCCGCGCTGCTTGCTTTCTTTATCGCCTTCTTACCTGCCCGAATCTGCTGACCCTTGTTGACGTTGGCAGTCTTGTTGGTGGCCGTGCGGTGGATCAGGTTGCGGGGGTTCGCGATGATGGTGTAGAAGCGAGAACCCTTCATGATGTCTTGACAAGACGTCTTGGAGTACTGAGTACGGTTAGCTTCAATTCGTATAACTACCAAGACAGAATACTTACGTGAAGCAGTTCCCGAAGACCTTCGAACCGATCTTCAAACGTGTAGAACTGGGTAAGCTGACATTGCTCACGCTCGTTCTGGTCGAAGATCTGCTTGGTCCAACCGTCGGTGTGGATTTTGATAAGCTCTTTCTATGTGACGTTAGTGATGGCAGAGGCATACAGTCGGTTTAAACTTACCACAAGCAGGCCAGCAGCTGCATTGTACTCTTCCGGGAAATAGTACTTGGACTCAGAGTTCCACCGATTGTTAGTTGACGTGACATCGGCCTTCTCCCGGATGTTTAAGACGTTGTGCATTGCCAGGTCAAGAGCATTGACGCAGGCCTTGATGTCATCTTCTGTTGTAGGAATGGTCACATCATTGGCAGGCGCCTTCCACATCGTACCACTGAACTCAACTCCAGTGTTGGTACGAACCATGGTGATAGACTCGCCCATCTGCCCATCCATACTGGTCTTGGCCTTGAGCTTCCTGATCGCGGCCCGGGCTTGCTTCTCTTTTTCAAGAATGTGTTTTGGTGTAGAAGATTTAGCAGCGCCCGCGCCGTTAGCATCGTCAGCAGGTTGCTCGCCAGTTCCAGCGTCCTTGTTGTCGGACTGCTGGGGAATAGATGCGTCACCGGTCGCTACTGTGTGGTGTGTGACGGGTGCCTGCTGGTTGGCGACGGGTGGGCGAGGCATCATGGATATATCAGAGGTCGCTGACGTAGGTGGCGGCGCTGATCTAACGCGCAGTTCGGATGCATGTTGAGGCCCTGGTGCGTGTTGCGGGCCTGGTGGATCTCGCAGGCCGCCTGATGAACGTTGAAGCTCTCCGTACTGCCAGCCTAGTGAACGTTGAGGGTCTTGTGCATATTGTCGCCCTCGTGCTTGGTGGCCGACTGCTTCGTGAAGAGCCGCTGATGTTCGATACCTGGATAACGGATGAACTGGCGCTGACGGAGAGACCGGTGTTGACGAATAACCTGACGCCGATGGATAACCTGACGCCGATGGATGACCTGACGCCGATGGATGACCTGGCGCTGACGGATGAACTGGCGCTGACGTACGGGATATTGGTGCTTGGCGGAGAGTTCCTGGTCCGTGAAAGGTCGCTGGTCCATGAGGAGCAGTTGATCCGTACGTGGGCGGTGCTAGGTAAGTCGATCCTGACCTATTTACAGGCGAAGTAATGTTGCTCCGCAGTGGCTCATGACCCATTGATGGTGTCGGGGTAGCGGATGTTGGTCGCGGGATGAATCCTAGACGACTTGCAGACAGCGTTTGGATCGGATCTGGTGTGGGAACAGACATCGTTTGGGTGAACCCATCATTGTAAAATGAGTTCGGTCCAGATGTATGACGTGCAGGCGACTGAGGGGAGTTGTTGGGTGCGCCTAGAAGAAGTCAGTGTGAGCGCGCGACACAGGGTGTGTATCATGTCGACTTACCGAAGACTACGTTACTCTCTGGCTGATACTGTTGGCCAGTCTCTGCGTGATTGTAACCTCCTTGCGGGTTCCAGTCAGGGACCGACTGTCCGGGTACGCTCTCGCCAGAAGTGTACATATCTCCTTGATGGTCGAAATAGCCGCCGTTGTCTCCGAAGCTCTCAGAAGGGAACAAAGGAAAGTTGTCGCCGTAATCAAACAGGCTTTGGTCGTTCTGGCTGAAGCCGTCCTGTTCGATTGGGCCAGGATGTGTTGAAGCTACCGGCGCGATAGAAGAGCTCGATGGGACAGTGTTCTGCTGCATAAGCCTCGCAAAAAAATCGTAGTCGAGTTCGTCGGTGATTGAGTCGTCGATCTCAGGAGTGGAGGGGTTGTTGGAATTCATTGTAGAGATGTTGTCGTCGTATGCAATGAATCTTGTGGGTTGCAGTTGTGAATCGAAGTGGTTGAGGGGGGTAATTTTTCCTTGAGAGTTCGAAATGAAGCCCCAGAAATACTCTCACGGAGGTACCACGCGCTAGGAGTTTGTTTGTGGCGCGGAGCAGAGGGCTCCCAACTGGGATAGAGTGGGTCGAAGGGTGAATCACGTGTTCACACGGCGGTCGCTCCAAGGCGGGGGAGGGGCGATTAAGGAGGAAATCACTGTAGCGCCAAGCCCAAAGCGTGAGGGCGACCGAAGTGTTCATGCAGGCGGCAAAACTAGTAGCGATACTACGTATCAACTTTGGCGGCATCGCGCTGTTTCTTGCTAGCCAAGTATATAAACTCAACTAAACCAAGTATAAGTAAGCCAGAGCCCCTCGAAGCTGTCTAATATAGCGAAATGTAAGTGCAAGACTCCTACTGTCGACTGTATATATCTCTTTCTAGGCTTGTCCTGCTGCATCCTTTCCGCCGTACCATTCCAAATGGTACGAACTTGGTGAATGGGGGTTGAAAAACAATCCTCAAGAAGATGTGAAAGAGCAAGGAAAGCGAGATTGCTTGCGGGACCGGGAAAGACAACCTACCCATAAGTGTTCGAGGATTCCACGTCACTACTTAACCACTACCGCCCAGGTGTTTGTCTCAACCGACAAAGCACTCCCAGATGTTGCACTCGACAAACTATTCCGGCAAACGCAAAGACTCTTCCAAACTCAACCTTGACCACTACGCCGGTCAACCGAGTATGCTCGCTCGCCTGGGGTAGTAAGCGGGAGACGACAATACCGACACAACTAACCTCCAGGTAGACGTTTGCTGTATCGTGCTGCCTCGACCAAGGCATGCCGAATGGAGCAACCAAGAAACCCGATCTCTATTGGACTTTCAGTCGGATCAGAGAGCTCAAGACAAAGAAAGTAAGTCCATCCATCAGCCGCTCGGTAGCTTATGACTCGGACGGTATTGTGTCTTTGACGGCACGTGCTCGCTGATTTTCGCGGCAAGAACTTTCTTCGAAATCATGCCGAAGGCAGCGTCTTCATTTATGAGATCTGAAAAGGAGAAGTCGAGCGATTGAATGTGATGGCGACGCGGAGCGAGCCCATCAACCTGCAGTCGCTGCAGTCGCTGCAGCCGCGCGTTCGCCGCGGAGAGTGGCGCATCGCGACAGTCCGAGGAGCATTCCCTGGACATGACTGCACTCGATGAAAGCTTACAGAAGTGTGCAGCACCAGTCCTCGCAAGAAGCAAGAAGCGGCCGTGCACCAGGCGAAGTCCATGAAGGTTTGTCGTTGATTTTGAGGTGGGATCAATGCGCGCTAGCGACGGCGAGCCTGCCCCTCGTTCCTGCCTTCCTTCTCCACAACCTACAACTTCATCCGCTTCCACCAAACGTCGACAGCATCGTCAATCTCGCCACCGCCGGGTCCTTCTTTTTACTGATACTTTCACCCAGGGAGGCAATTGAATCTCATGTCTTCATGTGATCAACGGTCCAGACCTTTCCCGACGCTGGCTTCGATGGCTGTGCTGCCATAAAAGTCGACGGGCCACGCCCACGCCCACCACCATCGCCGCGACCCTCACAATGCTACACCGAACGCGATCTTGCCAACGCTTCTCCGATTGAGATCATCGGCAACATGAGCTCAACTGACGGCGCGGTACAGCCACTGCCGTTTCGACGCGTCTGACTCGCACGAGACAAACATGCCAAGGCAACATTCCCTCCTCGCCGCGCACCAGCCAGTCTATGCAAACTCATTGCACTTCGAAACCTTTCGCGCCTATGTTCACAGCCACTAGCATCCAACTCTTCTCCACACACCGCGATGGCATACCACGCCGTGGTCGTGCGGCTACCGCTGCTGTCGAGCCACTCAACTGACGCAACCTCGACTGCACCTCACCGAAGAAACATCTCCTAGGCAAGAGCGACTTCCAACACGAGAATGTCGGATTCAAATGTAATGGAAGCATTCTCTCCTACCTCTGATCCCGGTCTCGTTCCCGATCAAGAATGTCCACCTTCCCGCCGGGTAAGGAGGTCACATGACGCATCCCGCCTGGATCGCTCTTGCTTGGAAAGACCCCGGTGATACCTGAAAGAGAAGGGACTACATTATCTCATGGTACTGTGTCGCATGAAGTGTATTTCTGCTTGCCAGGCTTGGTCGACGAAGATCCGTTCGCGTCTTTATGATATGGACTTGCACATGCACTTGCAGGACATACAACGCCCCATCAAAAAGCCGGACAGAACGCGTGTAGGTCTGGCAAGACGGACTTGCCCATGCATACGCGGATCATACAACGCCTTATCGCAGATCCGGAGAGGTTGCAAAGCGCAGGTCTGGCAAGACGTTGCTTTGTCGGAACCTGAACGGTATGTAGTCGGTTGCGCGCTCTGTCGCTGCCAGCTGCAATCGTACATGCTTACGGGCCTGCGACGACCTCGCGCATCCGTATTGTCGCCGGTCTTCATGAGGATTCTATGGTACGCCATTAGCTCTTATGTCTTTCAGTTCAACAAGAAGTCATTCTGTGTAAGGTAGTCAGTATGTTAACACATGTCACAGGCAACATCTCACGCAGCAAGGCCATATCACACGACGCCAACCTCGCCCAGTATCTCAGGCAAGACGGACCTCATGACGCTACACGCTATCGACATGCAGCAAGTGCCATGAGGGCTTGTGGGTCGGGGCAATGGGTCGTGGGTGTAACAAACGCTCGGGTTCTAGGTGAATGCGAGGATGCCAAGACGCTCGGACGCGTTACTCACGCCTGTGCTGTCGATACACACGCAACGCCCCCAGCAACAGGCACCGATCATAACAACAGACCTTTGTCTTCTTTCACAGAACGCACCTGATATCCTCTTGGCTTACAAATCGTCCGCGCTTGTCAGAGTCGACCTTCAATTTCCTACTTCACTCCGTCGTCGCCTAGGTAAACATTACGCCATACCTACTTCAATACCCGTGGACGCATCTTTTCACTAGCGGCGCAGTCAGCCTTGCACATATAAAGATCGGGGGACGCAAGCGTTTCACCTCTCACGCCGTGTAGAGTAATAACAGTTTTTTCAGTAAGTTCCACCAGAGCTGGAGTATAGATGCTGGAGTTCACTAACAGGTGTCTTAGTTGCAAGCAGTAACCGTTGAAACCAAAACCCCAGCCGCCGCCCCAAGTACCCCAATATGACCAACCACGACCCCGATAAGGACACCCCCAAGGGCATAGCCAACAAGAACCTAATGGTGATCGAGAGCCAGACTGCATCTCCCTCAACTCCCATTGGTGCTCGTGCTCCCGTTCCCTTCGGTCCTCCCATTCCCCGCCTTGCGGACACGCGCCTAGAAAAGGTCCCCGGCGGTCTCAAGGATCCGTCTCGCCTTAAGACCAAGATTTCCCAGCTTCTGGACAAGGACGGTGACTATCCAGAGGTCGATGGCTTCCGCTTCAAGACCCTAGAAGAAGCTAGGGCGCCCATGGACGAGCCTCAGTGGTATTCTCCAGAGGTCGACCCCTCCATCCCCGAGACCGACGCAGAGTATCGTAAGTTCGTCGAAATGTTGATGCTAGCTTTCAAGGATATGACCCGCGCCAAGGACACCCAGGGCAACGCTTACCGCAAGCGGCTAACTCCGGGTGAAGGTGTCTATTACCAGGACTGGGCTATTGAAGCGTGCTCCTGGGACATCGTCGGCATGGCCAAGGACATCCACCTGAACGGCTTCAAAGTTCGCATCTACGATAAGTCCATCATCGACAACATCAGCCAGACCAAGGACTGGACTTTCGGACAGCGTATAGAATGGATCTGTGCGGTGCTGAGGACCTCCAAGCAGATTGGCGTTACTCTGATGAAGAACGAGAAGACCTGGACTACTATTGGCGCTCCCCACAAGCTGTACAGTAGCACCATCGTCAACTGCGTCTCGAACGCGCACCGCGGCCAGTGGATCAAGGTCGGCCGTGACAACGACCAGCACCATCAGAATCGTCCGATTCGGGGTAGGCGTACTGCGGCTGAGATGATCGCGTCCGGTGACAACGATGACACTGATGATTCTGGAGTGACTCCGGGTTCTCAGATGATGTTACAACCGCGACAGCCGGCTCAGAAGCGCCAGAAGCGTAGTCAACCGGGTATGAATGTCATTCGGCATGACCACCCAGCCATGGCCAATGACTCTGAAGGCGAGATGTCTCCCGGAAAGATGAAGAAGAAGCGCAAGACCACAACCCAGTACAACTCGTCATCCCCCACCTACGTTGTTCAGTCAGAGACTTCGGCATCTCAGCGGGATAAGCACCACCCTGGTGCTGACATAGGCGTTACCTTTTCGGACGTACTTCCCATGAAGCATGTCGTCGCTGTCCCCGTGCAAGCTGCTCGAAAGAACGGTGCCCAAGCTGATGATGTTGTCTTCAAGGATGCTTTCAGCAAGGACGTATTCAGCGAGGGTGCTAATGGCAAGAACGCCTCTAACGACGGCGGGGACGGCTCCATCAAGGATAAGGGCAAGGGCAAGATGAAGAAGACTAAGGACACCGGTTTCGTCAACTACCATTGCGGAACTAAGGGCATGGACGAGCTTGACTCGGACAGCTTTCGAGCGGCAGGTCGCGCGCCAGGAGGCTTCACCCGAACCGGATCTCCCTCGTCCTCTGAGCTCTCCGATGCACCTGATGATCTGCTATCTCCTGGCTCTGGCTCTCCAACTCCCAACCACAAGCAGAAGGAGCTGCTGGACGACCCCGAGGACAAGGTTTCCATTGAGGAGTACGCCAAGCTTCGGGGTGAGATGGATGAGCTGAAGGCGGCGCAAGCTGAGACCGACAAGATTTTGGCGGCACTCCGCGCGGAGAACGCGCGCTCGTTGGCCTCGTTCCATCAGGGCTCTTGAGTAGCTGAAGACTGGCGCAGAGAGACGCAAGCATCGAATGATCAAGTACACGTTTGGCCGTCCATAGAATGAGATGGATGACCAGTCTTTCCAGCCTTTCGGTAGGATAAGATTGTGAATGGAGTTCATATGGGAATAGTTGAAGTAGCACATGAAGTCACGACGTTTCGACTGTAATTCTTGATTACCTTTCGACGTTGTGGCGGAAGAATACAACACGTTCAAAATTATGTCTTCGTCTTGTCTGCGTGATTGAATTGATGTTCAGGTCCCATGTATGCAGGTCGGTGATACTAACCTTGTTGCGGTCAATCTTAGATACGTCAGCGCTAAACTTTATCACCAGTAACCTCGGAACCTGAGCTCCCTGCTTTGCAAGTAACGCGACGCGCAGCGAAATCCGACCATCCGACCGCAATCATGCCTTCGATTATACCGCCAGCCTTATCGCATAGGTTCTTACCTCCACGACGACCCTATATAAATCATCCTTCACCGTCCGCTCCGCATCGACACCATACCTGCATCTCCTCCGTCTCATGATGACCACCCGAAGAAGAACCGAACACCTGGAAGACTTCACCGCTCACGAATGGTGCAAAGCCCTCTTCGCCGACCCCTCGATAACGTCCATCCACGATCGCCGCCTGTTTGAAGCCCGCGACGGCTGGAACCTGCTCTTCACGCGCGGCCTCTTCACATCCGACGCGATCCGCGCGTTTCTCGACTTGTGGAAACCGGGTCATGGAAAGCGACGGGAGGTTATAGACCCCGACAGTGTAGTCACACATACAGACACAACGTGGGAGGAGATTGTGCCGCCCGACAACCCGAAAGAGGCGGCTAGACAAGCAGCGAAGGAGGACATACAATACGATCTCTCCGATCCGGAAGGAACGGAAAACATCGTGCTGGTATCGCTAGCTCACGATGCCGATGGGAACTATGCGAGTCTTCATGGCGGCATTACGGCGTCGCTGCTGGATCATTGCATGGGCTGCCTTATAGTCAAGAACTATGGCATTCCGAATGCGACGAGTGAGCTGCGCGTCAAGTATAAGAAGAATCTGGTGACGCCATCTGTGGTGAAGGTTAGGGCGAAGATCATGAGGGAGAAGGGCAGGTATGTTGAGGCTGTGAGCTGGGTGGAGGATGGCGCGGGTGGGGTGTTTGCGGAGGGATGGGGCAGTTTCGTCAAGAATAAAGTCGTTATGTCGAAGATGTAGACGGCGGGGTGGAAGTGGACTGTAGGAGTGGGATATAGGGCGGATGGGGTGTGTATGACGGGATGCGCTGAGGTGAATGCTCGTGTTGACTGTAGACAGCTCCGGTGGCATCGCACGAATTTCAATGTCAAGGCGCGTCCGTCCAGCGTCTTTAGACCTGAGCCGCAGCCGTCCTACGCGATTCATGCATCGAGATCAACAGTCCAGATCTTCAACACCAATCCCCATCACACCCGGACACGCTCATCCACATCCACCACCTCGGCACATCATCACAACCCACAGCAGATCCCATTCACCACGCCAATTCAGGCTCTATCGCAGCAGATCCGATCTTTCCGACCCCTACCGCCCAATTCTCTGCGTCCTCTCGGCCTCTCCAGTGTTCTCAATACCCGACGAATCACATCGCGCAACGTCGTCGCGTCGCGTTTCAGATAACAACGAATCCGCTCTAGACCATCCCTTCCCAGCTGTCGATCAGGAGATTTTTGCAGAAAGCCCAGAGAACTCTTCTTATCGACAACGCACATGCATGGCATTTGTTCATTTACACGTGCGGGTGGATAGGCCAAGGCGCATGTGTGACACCTGCTAATTTTGGGTCGGGGCACGGCGTGGGTGCCGAGTATGCTGGATGGATGAAACTAATGGCATTTTATGCGTTGGATTGAGGCTGAGTTGTGTATTGTGGATAGGTTGAGTGGTATCTCATTATCTTTACGCGTCAGCCCTCGTCCTTGGTCCTTCTTCCCTCCCTTCGACACCTTTTCCGTCGTTCTTTGTTCGTCGCATCTTTTTTTGCGCAGACACTCTTTGGTTGTTTTTTATATGGTTCAGTGAACCAGTACGTTCTTTACACAAATTACATTCTTTTTTTGCTTTGATCAGCACGTTCCTTTTTACGAGATACCATTATACCGATACAAATCTTCAAAATGATACCGAGCACCCTCAGCAAAGCCGTTTCACTCGTTGTGCAAATCGCCGCCATCCAAGCCCCACCGCCATCGCCTCCGGCCCCAGCCGCCCTACTATCTTCATCAAGCACCCTCGCCGCCTCGCTCAAAGTCTCATTCCCGGACCCTGGTCGAGCACTCCTCCCCCAACCATACTGGTGGTGGCAATCCGGCACCGCAGTCGAAGCCCTCCTAACCTACGGCTCCACCACTGGCGACCTCCAGTATGAAGATCTTCTAAAGACCACCATCCTGAGTCAAGCGACCCCCGCAAACGACTTCATGACCGTCGACGCGACCGGCAACGATGATCAGGCGTGGTGGGGTCTTGCCGCCATTACAGCCGCCGAGTTGAAGCTTCCCCAGCAAGGACCTGTAGCTTGGGTAGATTTGGCGACCAACGTCTTCAACCAGCAAAAGCAGCGTTGGATCGACGGCAACAATACTTGCGGCGGCGGCTTGCGTTGGAAAGTAGATTTCGGCGAGGACGGCCAAAACGGATGGCACTACAAGAACGCCATTACCAATGGTCTCTTCTTCCAACTTGCCGCCCGCATCGCACACCTCACGAAAGATGCTGAAATTCTATCCTGGGCGGAGAAGACGTATGCCTGGAGTACGAAAGTAGGCCTTGTAGACCAGGACTTCAATGTCTACGACGGCACGAGTGAAGACAACGGGTGTTCAGATCTAAACCACAACATGTGGAGTTACAACGTGGGCGTCTACATGTATGGCGCTGCGGTCATGGCCGTGCACACCAAAGACGAGAAATGGTCGGAAAGAACGAAGGGCTTTGTCGCATCCGCGAAGAGGAATTTCGTAAACACCGACACCGGCGCGCTTTTTGAGAGCAAATGTGAGGTCAAGGACGCAGATGAGCCGTGCGACACCGACCAGGTTTCTTTCAAGGGGTTGTTGGCGCGATGGTTGGGTGCTACGGCTGTGTTATTGCCGCAGATTAAGGAAGATGTGGAAAAGATTGTTAATCCAGCTGCGAATGCGGTGCACAACGGTACCATTCTGGATTTGGGTCCTATTGAGAGTGCGTATGCGCTCGAGGTCGTTGATGCGAGTTTGAGGATGCAAGGGTTGGGTGGTGAGGGCACGATTGGAGTTGGGAAAGTCAAGGCAGCAAGGAGTATTGCAGGGAGAATAGCATGGTGATGCAAGAGATAGACTGTGGATACCCCGATAGATTTGCTTTTTCAAACACAAGGCTACCCTTCACGATCGTATTGTGCGCGACCATCATCCCAAAACCATCTCCACGAACATTCAATTGCCGGATTAACCCCTGCTTTTAGCGTCATCGCAATCGTATCGCGGCCGATCTCATCTTCGATCCATCTGCGGGTGCGCTACGCGGATCGATGTTCCGGTTCCACGGGGACACTAACGGCGTGGCTTGCAGCCCCTCAACACCAATGGAGCTGTTGGAGCTCTCATAATGACGTCGCAGGTACGGAAGCTTGCCAGGAACGTCAACAAACTTCATTTAAGGTGCGGTCTCGCGTGTATACTGAACTCTCGTCCTATCGCGCAATTTTTGATCTGTTGTGCAATTGACTGATCGCGACATCATGCCTTCTATAAACTCGACTGTGCGTAGTCTGTGAGGGGTTGGAGGGGTCGGAAGAGTAGGAGCTGACTGATGCGTACAGGTATTCCATGCGTATGCCTATGGCACAGCATTCTGGTACGGCCTGCGTGGCTTGTGTCGCGTGTACGACCCCATTATGGTCATCGGCTGTACGTTACATCGACTTTGCGACCCTTCTACCCCGCTCTTCAAAGCTTCAACCCCCTGATGTTCACTGTCTATTCCAAAACTAACACCAACAGGGTTCCGGCCTCCCTCGCAACTAAACCTCGCTCCCAATGACCTCGAAGCCTACAACGTCCGTAACGACGGCTGGTGTCTCGTAACCCTCGCGCTCATCCTCGTCTCCTTCACCAACGCCATACCCTTCAATTCCGCGCCTGCAACGAAGCTTACTACGATTCCGTATGCGAAAGCGGTGGTAGCTGCGACGGTGTTCCATCATATCACGACGGGCATCGGCGCGTACCAGCATTACAAGATGCCGAGTCATTACAATACCAGTATGAGCATTGGGGTGTGGGGCAATGTATGGTTGACTTTGACCGGATTGTTTACACTGGCGATGTTGCAGAGTGATAAGGAGACGATGCTTGTTGAGGAGGTAACTAAGAAGGTGAGATAGATGTTGGGTGGATGGAGGGAAGGAAAGAGGAAGGCATAGCCATGGAGATATGCACTTTGTGGTGGAATGCTAGCTCAAGGCCGCACAGTCTAGGCTTGAGCAATTGCGATCGAAAAGTAAGATGTGTATACAGCGACAGAGTGTATCTAAAAGAGAGAAAGCAGTTCGATCATCACTATCCGAAACCTTTGCACTGATGCCAAACTAGTTCGTCACTCCCTATGTATGGAGATCAATGTCTAGTCTTCGAGTATTTTTCCAAGAATTAGATAACCTCTCCCACTATCCTTCTTCCAACTTTGACTCTACTCCGACCTCACTACCACGTCAACCTAGGGAAAATGAACACCCTGGAGCCTACGTTGACGCTGGGTTACCCACTTTGCAGGTTCTTGTCTTGATGTAGTCCTCAGGCCTGTTCAGCTTTTTTCTTGTATGAGGTGTCACTATCCCTCAAAATCCCTCCGGTCTGTATGTTGGCCATCCCCCAAACCCACTGTTATACCCCCGAAAGTTCCAACCTTGCCTAGTCATCGTACATGGCGTGCAATAAGCGTTGCGACGGAAGTCAAACTGGTTCTGCTCGC